AGCACCTTTAAAATGAGCAGAAATACTCCTTTAATCTTTTTAATGTGGTACATTTGCTGAGGAGGATGGAGAGAAGGATGCCTTTAAACCACTTGTCTGTCTTTCCCAATCTGGAAGCCCACAGTCTACTCCGAGACTGCCATGAACAGCAACACTCCAGCCCTGAGTGGCTTCCACGTGGGGCCAGCACCTTGCCAGCATACTCAGGATGTGGCCTGGTCTTGATCCTCTTGCTGCTGTGGTGGTTTAGGCTGAATCAGGACAGTATGCAGGAGTCAAGGAGGAGTCCTACCGTCTCTCTGCTTCCTGGGGAAGCTTCTGAGAGGCCAGGATGGGCTTTAAATGAGAGCACTAAAATGGCTCAGAGGCTGCATAATTTGCATTGTTCAAAAAAGGTACTTCCCTTACGGACAATGTAAGGCAATCCCAGACACCCAGGTGAGAGCAGCAGTGGTGAGTGAAGCATGATCTGTGGCCAGCAGCAGGATCTGAGCCCACTTCCCCCTGAGGGATGAGGAGGCAGAAGAGATTCAAGTGGGAATCTGGAGACAGGGAAAGTATTGGAATGGTTGACCCCATTCCTCCTGCATGCGTAACACAAGGAAGGTGCTCCTTGGCAAAGAGACTGCATGGCAGGATGCATCCAGGACTGGAAGCTCAGCGATTCTTCACCTGTTTTTTCGTGGCTTTGGAGGACTGCTGCAGCCCTCCTGGGATCAGGACTGGGGACTGCAAGATGTTTTCTGACCTCAGGCAGGTGTCCCGTTCATTTAATTGTTTATGAAATGTGGCTCATGCTCCAATTACCCCTCTGCTCATCTGGATAGGGTTCTGGTGTGGTGACAGTCTCACCTGCCACATTATTAGGAGTGATGTGGGTAGCCCTGGGCTGTAGTGGAAGAGGGGTGTTGGGCAGGAGATGCAGGTCAGAACTGGTCATCAACAACCTAGATCTTACGCAAGAGGGTGTAAAATGGGGTGGAGGTGGAGGCCACCCAGCAGCTCCATCACTCAGGAGAACTGCTTTACTTTTTTCTCACATCCTCTGTGAGTGCTGACTTCTCCTGTAACCAAGCACTTGCTCGTCTTCTGGGGAAGGGAGATGAAAGGTTGGGTGACTGCAGTGGCTGCCTCTTGAGCAGAACACAGAGGGGGCTGTGAATCACAAGTCTGACCCTGATGGAAAACACAGCAACACTCCAGCCTTGAGTGGCTTCCACCTTGCCAGTATCCTCAGAATCCTCCGGAGGGCTTCTCTCCAGACCCTCCAACTTTCATATATGCAGGAAGGTCAAGCATATGTTGCTACTGGAGAGAGCAGAAAAAAAATCGAGAGTCTGCTGTGCCCTGATCAGCTGGTCACGGCTCTAAACAAGATGCAAGAGCCTTGGGGCTATTTGGCTTGGCATTAAAATGGTGTGGATGGAAGGAAAAGTCTAATTGACTGAAAAACAGCCTGCACTGTGTAATTAAACTACTTGTGCCTCTACCTGCATGGGTCAGAAGTGGGTTGGGTGGCTGTTTCGGCACTGACAAAGAAGAGGTGGGGTTGCATGTTTCTACAGGTCATTTTGCTGTTTCAGTTTGGGCAATTTTATGCCTTTGAAATTTTTGGGTTCTGTCAAATTTGGGGAAACTCTTAATATTTCATGCTGAAGCAGGGGAAAGTAAAAAGGTCAATGTTAGCAGTTTCAGGGCAGTGTTTCAAGTGGAGGTAATGCTTTTTCAGTGCTATTTTCTTATTTGAAGAAAAATCCCTCAAAAAAGAGGAGGGGAAGGACTGTTTGCCAGAATGCATTTCAGCCTGGCTCTGCACCCGCTGGGGACGTTGGTAGTTGTTTTTATTGAGTTGAGAATGAGAAGACCAGGTCTTCTGCACAACTCAGTGAAACACAACTCACTCCTTTGCTGCCAAGGATTATGGTGTTAGCTCTCACTGAGAGCTTTGAGAGTCCTGGCTTAAGAATATGGTGTATTCGGAGGAAGCTGAATGAGAAAATTTCTGAAGTGACATGTTTGAACTCTCTGACCTTGTTTTCAAGTCCTTATGAAGCAGAGCTCACCTTCAGCTTGTAGCTCTAATCTTATTGATTATTATTTTTAGTCCTTCAGGCATTTTTTGCTGTGCCCAGAGCACCGTGTGCTTTTCAGAATGAATAATCTGACATGACAGCTACTGAACTGACTCTGCTCTCTCTAGGCTGTCAGCACTGGACAGAGCCCTGTGCTTGTGTTGGAGGAGACTCATGTAGATAAGTGGAGGGACTGGTGCATTTTGTTGCAGTAGGACCACTTGTCTAGCGTGTGAGCTGGTGTCTAAACATAGGAGTCAAACACTTAGCCTGGAGCAACAGATGTCTGTGTTTTTCCTGGTCAGGGCTACATGTCTGGGAAAGGACATGGCACAGCCAGGATGTGGGACATGCATGAGCTCTTCTGCCCCAATCATCCATCACTGTAGGAGAGAGGACAGAAGGAGGGATGAATCTTCAGTGGGTCCTCTTGACTCTTTTTAAATTTCTTGACTGTGGAGAAACATCTATAAATCTAGCTTATTCTTTCTGAGCTGGAGATGAAGGACCTCACTTGTCAGGTAAGAAGAAATTGCCAGTTTGGTCTGCTGCTCCTCTAGCATCCTACCCCAAGAATATGAAATACGAGGTGTGATTATCTGGCTGCAGCATCTCTCCAGAACTGTGGCAACAGGAAAGGGAAAAGAGCACAGCATATATAAATTCTTCTTTAAGATATTAGCTTACCTACTGTTTTTTTCTCAGGAAGAAAAAAGTCAAAATGGCTTCTGTTGAGTCTAATTTGTTCTGTCTACAGGCATAGCTAATTATCCTAACTTAGCTCAGCTCTGAATTCTTCCCAGGGGTTTTGGTGCTATTTCTTCTGTTTTGATTTATAAATTGTCTTTATTTCACTTTCCTCCTACATGTTCTGCTCCCTGCCTTACTGAGGAGCTCGGAGCTAGTGTGACAGTGTTATCTATCACAAGGTGTAGGACAGAAGTGGGATCTGTTAACCAAAGTCTTTGCTCTCGGTGTCCTGCAATACTTCTGGCATCTGCCTCATGGGCTTTGCAAAATCGTCTCTTCTCCCCAGAAAGCATTTTCATGCTGCCACTTACTACTGGGCTTATCTACAACCATCCTTGGGCTAGAGGAGTTGTGAGGCTCGGTGTGGGCTCCATAGCCCAGAGGATTTGGTTACAGCCTTCATCCCACAGCAAAGAGATTTCTGGCTTCTCCACTGACTTACCATAATGAATTACGGTTGGTTTTTTTTCTGGTTTAGCCATTCCCTTCACAGTCGATACCATTTTCCTAACCTCAGTGGTGAATTCTGTGGGGGAAGGAAATCTGTCTGCTGTAATCATGGGGTACCCATTGTAGTAAGCAGCAGTCAGTACTGCCTGGACTTGGGAGATCATCTCTGTCCAGGACACTTCAGAAACTCTAATTAATGAGTCCCCCAAGCATCCCATGGGACAAATGTGTACTGTTTGCTTAGGAGACAAGACTCTCAAGAGTAAAAAGCTCAAGCAAGGCCAGTTTTAACTGCTAGAACAGGACATATCTTCACAGCATTCCTGTGTTTTATGTTATATCAACTTTGTTTTCATTTTTTTTCTTTCTCTTTTTTTGGTGGGGGGTGGACTGGGCGATGGGACTTGGGGTCCCACGGGATTTTTTTTGGTTTGATTTGGTTTGGTTTTGGCAGGTTATTTGTTTTTTGTTTTGTTTTCCAATGTCTGTATCTGGAAATGCTTTTGTCAATAGACTTCTCTGGGAGACTGTAGTACAGGTCACCCTCATGGTCCCTGATATGAGGATTAAATTTGTCTCTCTGTAAAATGGGCTGAGACATGTGTGAGAGCCAGCACCATACCAGTCCCCTGTCTTTTTCTATGGCTTAGGGTAGATGATACAAACAGGAAAACTAGGGAGTGTTATTTCCTTGGAAGAGTCCCTCAACCTCCAGTAAGTTACAGCTTAGGGTTTTCCTGAACTTTAAGGGTAGATCCTGGTGGATTTTCCTTTCATTATTTTTCCTCTTAATTTCCTTTTTGAAGTCATGTAAAATCTCAGCATCCCTCATGTTCTGCAGTGGGGAGTCTTGCTCCATAGCTGCACACTTTGTGAAATAACCCCTTTGGTTTAACCTACCACCCACTGTCTTGGTTTTATCTCTTTCTGTCAGAAATGGTGAATGCTCATATTCTATGACACTGATACATTTTTAGGCCCCTGTCAGATATTTCACAGGACAATGGAACCTATTTCCTTTAGCTTCTCTTGACATGGAAGATGGTCCACACTTTTAAACATCATTTTGTCTCTCCTCTATGCCTTTTATTGCTTTGCAATAGCTTCTGCAAAAGGAAGGAAAAACTGCACTTAGTTTTCAAGACACGAGTGCAATATTGTTTGAGCCACAGGTGTAATAACACAGACTGTTCTTGCTCTCTTTCTGAATTGTTTTGGTGTGATGGTTATATACTCCTTAGGGCATGTCATCTCTCAGATGCCTCCGTGGCTGGTGCACTCAGTTTTGGGCCCAAGACCTGGGAGATGTGGCACCTCCACCATTCCCCTCTCCACTGTAACTCAGACATGCCAGATATATGTCTCTTTCTGGACTGCTTCATGGTGGGTCACCCACAAGCTGTGATTTCTCTGCATGTGTACTGGTCCAGGAGCTTTTCCTAGAGAGCACTGGAATAAGAAAGAGTTGAGGTGTTTTTTATGTGCTGGTAACAGCCAGGTCTGAGTCTGTTGTCAGCAGTCTACGTGGGCACAACTCCTTAGAAGGGCAGCTTCAAGCAAGGCAAAATTATCTTCCTTCTCTCTGGAGAAAGCAGGGAGGTATGGATAGGCTGCACTGATGTGCAACAGTCCACCCAGTGAGTCCGCCTCAGACCCAACAAGACCCTCCCCTAAGTCCAGTACACTGACACAGGATTCTTTCCCTCCTTTCTCATCAGGAGCTTTGCCCAGTGCTTCCCATTTCGCCCACGCTCGACCGAGGCAGAAGCTGCCCTTGTTGCTCCTCCAGCCCCTCAGCAAGAGTGGCCACACATCTGAGTCACCATGGGCAAGATGGACAACCCCTCTGTGGAGCTGAGCTCTCCCTCCGAGGTGAAGCAGGCAGCCCTGGAGGAACAAGAACCCATCACCCCTGAGGTTCTGGGCACCAAGAAGAAGAAGAAGAAGGAGCTCCCAGACAGAGGTTCCTGGAAGGGGAAATTTGACTTCTTGCTTTCCTGTGTGGGTTACGCTATCGGCCTGGGCAATGTCTGGCGCTTCCCTTATCTCTGTGGCAAGAATGGAGGAGGTAAGAGAAACACACCATACCTGCACTCATCCCTGAGCAGCCTTGTTACTGAACAGATTTGGTTTGGTGTGTCTGAGTTGATCCTCCAGCTGAGAGCTGTCCTCATTTATTTACAAGGAGGACTGTGCACATAGGCATGCTGGGGAGCTCCCAGGGAAACCTGGGGGGTTCTCGTCAGCCTAGTGTGTTCTCAAGGGATAAGAGTTTTGCATGTGAGTGTGGGTTACATGTTTGAGGAGTTCTGATTAGAAGCATGGACCACAGTAGGGCTGGGTAGACATATATAAAAACGTGTATTTATGTACACATACACATAATGACTTGTCATCATCTATGGAAGGAAATGAGCTTCGACTTACTAGAGTGCTGTGAAAAGGGTCACAGTTATCATCTCCATTCTAATGCTTGGGAAACAGAGGCCATAAGAAAGAAGGCAGGTGGCAAAGAATGAAGATCCCACTTCCAGTGGGATGCATCTGGTAGCAGTGCCTTAGAGAGCTAGCACCAGGTACTTTTAATTCTCTTTATTATTGCACCACTATATCCTTTCCTTACCAGTCATCTGCTGAGGTTTTGCCAAACCATTGGAAGGCTAGAGAAAGGCAGGCAGATGGGGAAACACTACTGGGCTAGAAATCAAGAGACCTGGGACATCAACTCCCTGCCCAGCTACAGAGTTTCTGCATGTCTTGAATCAAGCCAGAAAATAAATTTCCGTGCCTCAGCCCCCCTCAAAAATAGTGCTATTTCTTCAGCCTTGCCAGGGAGATGTTTTTTGAGAAGGTAGTATGGGCTTGTGTTCGTAGAACAGAGGCTCTTCTCCTCACTCCATGGCCAGCTCTCCCATTTTTTGTACCTGTTACTAAAATAACCTTCTTTCCCCACCTTGAAGAGCTGCTCACTTCCTTGAACCCTTTCTCAATCTTCCTACACAAGTCCAAAATCCTTTTTCTCCCCTTTCAGACTGTATATATAATTTTAGTACCACCTGCTAGTCTTCCCACCTAGCTCTTTGCTTCCCTGTTAGCTCTTCCTTGCCCAGAGTCCTTGTCCTTGGTGTCACATTCATTCATGCTGCTTTGAAGGTCTCTTCTCATGCTTCTTCTCCGCATCTTTTTTATTTTCCTTTTGCCTTTGTTCTCGTGACTCAGATCCACTTCTGCTGTTTGTGTCTTAGGGGGTGTAGGATGCTCTTCTCCTCCAACCCTGGAAAAGGGTCTAGATCCCTGAGGCAGTCTACCCATGTAACTCCATGGCATTTAAGGGTATCTTGGGTCTTTTCTGAAGCATGTGGAGTGAGTTCCAGCAGGAGATCAGACATTTATCAATTTTGTCAAGATTTTAATGCAGTATGTTGTTTTCGTAGAATCATAGGATGTTTGGAAGGGATCCTTAAGATCATAGAACCGTAGGTTGGAAGGGACCTTAAAGATCACATGGTTCCCACCTACCTTTCCTTAGACCAGGTTGTTCAAAGACACATCCAACCTGGCCTTGAACACTTTTAGGGATGGGACATCCACATCTTTTTTGGGTTTTGTGAAGGGGCATAAATATGCAACTGAGCTGAGTGAGATTTATGGGAATCAGCCAGGCCTTCTTAAGGGAACCTGTGCCCCCAGTGTCAGAGTCGCAGTGTGGGTTTGTCATCTTTATCTAGCCACACTCTGGCACCTGATTGCCAGGCCTCCACACACAACATTAGCCCCTTGGCTAAGTCCCAACGCCAGCCAGTATCTGCCCCGTGGCTGCTGCATCATCTCAACACTCACACTGGATCTGTGGTGCCCGTGACTGTCTCCTCACACATAAAAGTGGGGATGACAATACCTATAATTAGATGAAGGGTGCTGTGAAGCTAAAATCAGTCCTATTTATAAAATCAGCTGAGAACCTAGGACAGAGGGTACTGTGGAGGTGTGGAGCACTATTATTAGCATGAGCAATGGCACACAGGGTAATCTCTGCCCTGGCAGCTGTAGGTATGCAGAGGGACCAGCCGGCTGTGAGCAGGAATGCCAGACAGACAAAAGGGAGGAGACTGGTGCCTGCCACCTCCAAAACACCCTGCCTGACCTGCCGGATCCCGCATTCATCTCACCCTATCAGGTGTGGCTGTTCACAGGCACGACTAGTCCCGCAGCCGGCAATAATGGGCGGCAAGTGGAGGCTGCCGATGCTGGAGACAGGCGGGAGAGCTGACGCACGAAAGCGTCATCGGGAGTCGATGCCACGGCATCTGACTCGCAATCGGGTGGGCAGCGCCTTGGCTCTGCCCCGATGGAGGCGCCTCCGGAGCAGAGCAGACTGTGGGTGGGACTCTAATTTTAGCGTCCCTCGTGTGCGCTGCTCAGAGCGCGGTCGTGTGGGCTGCTTCCATTACGCATAGGCAAATTGAATTGAATGGAAATATCGTTGTCTCACTTGCCACTGTCATGTTGCATTGGCTCACGGCTGGTTTGCTTGGTGCAGGGAGCCCAGGGCACGGCAGCCCAGCACACGGCCCGCCCGCTGCGGGGGGCAGGCTTCGCCCAAGTTGATGCCTGGGCTCCCTGCTGGCTCTGCACACAGATGGATGTGCCCAATTGTGCCTAACGCTCCAGCCTCCACACCTATTTCTAAACTCATGCACTCTTTCTGATCTCAACGGGGTTCTGCTGGACTCCAAATTCACTCTAAATGCGGCTCAGTACCTGCTAAAAATTGTGAGATCCTGAGCTTGAATAACTTGAGAGAAAAGTAGTCCTTTAAATAAACATCGTGCGTTCCTCATTTGCACACTGAGGCTGGAAGCAACAGTATGTTACTTCCTGTAATGCTCAACTTCTGATTCTTGGGCAGTGTTCCCTCCTTAGGGATTAATTGCTATTTCTTGCTTTATGGCGTTAGGAGCTGGAGACTGCAGGCAGATTTGGGGTTGCTGAGTAGGTGCCAGGCATCCTTCCATGTCTGCAAGGGTCAGTGCTCTGAGCAGGCAAGGCAGGACGAGTGGTGTTCCACGGGCTTCGGCAACACACAAGGTCACACACAGCAGACTCAGGATCTGAACCAGACTTCTTGGCCAGAGACTAAAGACCATTGCTTTCTCTCTGTGCCGAGGATTTAGGCACAGACCTGCAGACTTTAGGTACGAATTTCAGAACTGATTTCCACTCTGGTTGTATACATGTCGTGGTTTGCAGATTTTCCAATATTCTCGAGGATATATGTTGGGCCAGGACAAAAGACCTGTGTCCAAAAGTTTGTCTGTTTTTTTTTTTTACTCAATAGTCTAATAAAATCTTTCATCTACAAACCTTTCTGGCCTGCTGTGGATGAGAAATGCAAGATTATCAAGACTGTGGCCAAATTTTATTGCTTGCACAGAAATGAGGAAGGCACTTGCACTGCTTAAAAGCTCAGCCTTCAAACTCCACAGTGGCAGGGTGGCAGCATCCGTGTCCTCCTGCCGGGTTCCTTAGGGGAGTGGATCTTGCAGCCTGTGGTAAGCAAGAACACAAGGGAGAATGCCGAGTGTGCAGTGCTGCTCAAAGCTACTCTCTCCTCCTCGCCAGGCTGCTGATGAAGCTGAGAGCCTGTGCTTCCATGCCAGCTTGTGATTCAGGCTCATGGTCATCGAGCTGCTGGCCCGGAGAGTGTTTCCTCCCCACCACCCACTGCCAAATCCTCTTGCATGCTTCCTCCCTCGGATTCTGGGTGCTGGCACTTGCCTCTCCCAGCTAGGCTCAGCTCTCTGCTTGTCAGGCAGGCGTCCCCAGCTGGGTGCACCCTGAGCCAGCATCCCTGGCTGTGCCACGCTGCGTCCCTACCCTCAAGAGAGCAGCTGCTGGAGACTGGCTCTGCCAGGTGCAATCTGGGCTGCAGCTCTCCAGATTGGCTTTGCTCTCTGGCTCCGTGTTTGCTTTCCCTTTGTTATCTGGAGAAGAAGACTCATACTGACAGCTCAGCCCTTCGACTAGTGCAGAAACCAGTGCTGTCCCGAACATGGCCAACTACTCCTGAGCAAACTGAGTGTCCCCACTCAGTCCCCAGCCAGAGTTTGTCTTCCTCAGGAAGGATGGCATGCTCCAGTACATGCACGAGAAAAGTGGAAAATGATCTTTGTCCCAGGTCCTAAAAGTCAGGATGACCTGGACATGTTCAGCCTTCAGATCACACAGCAAGGCTCTCCTGTTCTATTCACTCTTCTTTTAACTGGGTAGCAGTAACACCTCTAGGGAAAGGCTGCACTACCACACTTGTAGTGATGAGATTTCTATAGGGCCATAGAGAAGAGTAATAGTTTTACCAGGAATTTTAAGGGTAAATCTAAAACATGGTTAGCTAAGAATATAACACTGTTATGAGAGAAAATACAGCCTTAGTTACAGTTTTCCTAAAAGACTGAAATAGCTGTAAATAAGAGAGTAGTGGCCAATCCGAGATATTCTTGTGCACTTTTCCCTCAAAGTGAAGAACTGGGAGCTGGTGCAGGTATGACAAAAAGCATCAACAAGAAAAAGTTACCAGTGTCAGTGTACAGGTACTGGGTTTTTTGTCAGATTGGGTTTAGCATAGCTACCAGCAAAGTGAGATTGGCATTACCTATCTAGTGATACCAGTGCATATGTAGACATGGTACATAAATACCCATTGTGATAGGATAAAGGGTAAAGCAGTGGAGATCTCAGTGGGAGACTCACGTAACACACCAACTCCAGTTGGAAACTGTCGTCTTTGAGCAAAAGTTGCTCCTCATCACGTGGGTGCTGTGGAGCAAGAAACCTCAGCTAGAAGAATTTACTTCATGGTAAAAGGGGGAGCTGTCTAATAACATTGCTCCTTCTTTCAGGGGCCTTCCTCATTCCCTATTTCCTGACACTGGTGTTTGCTGGGATTCCTCTGTTCCTTCTCGAAACTGCTCTGGGCCAATATACCTCTATTGGCGGCCTGGGAGTCTGGAGACTGGCACCTATGTTTAAAGGTACTGTGGGTTTATGAAAGCAATGGCATGTAACTACAGATTCCATTAAAGCTTTGATGAGCAAATCAGCAAATCACTTGGGTCTGGGATGGGGTGGCAAGTCAGGGGAGGGTTTTTCCCCCTCTGTCATTATCCAACTGTCCTTGACTCTGATGTTTGCAGTTATTAATATCACTATGCTCTGTTTGAGCAACCTTGGGTGGTGACAAGGCACTTCATGAGCAGTATGGGATGTGATAGAGTGATTCTGGTTGCAGAAGACCCATTTTTGCTCCAATCCTTCCTATTTAGACTTACCTTAATTGCATGGGAGAGGTGTAAAAAGGGGGCGTGAACCTGTTGCCGTGCCTGGAGTAATTGTTTTCTAGAAATCAGTGGTGATTTAGAAATGCATTGAATGTGGGATAGTGTGATTCTGCCAGGGAAGTGACCAGATCCTGTTTTCATGGGACTCTGTCCCTAAAGAACCTGTAGTGCCCTGAAAGGGAACAATATTTTCTCTTTGAAAATGGGTGGGTGAGGGAGGAGAGGGAATGAACCTCCCTCGCTGAACAGCTCACAGTGCAACTGTGGCCCACCCTCTGTTGAAGAGCTGATTTGCTTTTTCTGTTTCTGCCAAAAAACCTGCTGTGGTGTCCATTAACTCGTGTAGTGGAGACCTGGACGGAAGTTGCTCTCTGCCTTCATTTGCAGGTGTAGGTCTGGCAGCTATGGTTCTCTCCTTCTGGCTGAACATCTACTACATTGTCATCATCGCCTGGGCTCTCTACTATCTCTTCAACTCTTTCACTGCGGTGAGTCACTGGTGTATCTGCAGCACGGCATTGGCTGTGTTCTGGGTCCTCACTCCTGCTTTGTGGGGGCTGAGTGGTTTATACCATAAAACAGGCACAAGCTGTTTGCAGTTTGTGCAAATAACCCTTGTCCACAACCTGCTGGACCCTCCCTGAAGAGGTTCATTAGCCCTAGGAGCAGTTTCGTAGTGTTGATGGGTACTGATATTGCCTCTGAAGAGGATGGTCCTCTGGAGGGGATGATCCTATCTCCTCTCTGAGAAATGTTCCCCCCTCACATCAGTATTTAAAACACACCCTGTGACCTTGTTGTATTTCTAGAGTTGCACATTTCCATAACTGGTTTTGTTACAACACAGTCTTATTTCTCAGGACTTAGTCCTGACCTTAATTAGATCTTATTCAGACTTTTCTTGATAAATGAAATCTGGAAGATTTTTTTTCTGCTGGGAAAATGATACAGAAATTATCTAGATGTCTGCTTGTGATGTTCTCTTAGCATGTACTTTATGGTTTTTAGTGGGTTCCTCTCCCATAGCAGGGTCTTCAACCATAGAAGGTTAGAATCATACCCCCTATCAACTTCTTGGTAGCTGAATGATTAATTTCAGTCCAGAAACTAGGACAAGGTTCTTTAACATTACTCTCTGAGAAACCTCAAAGACAACAACTGCATGGTCCAAATGGGATCTTTTTAAATTTTATTTAGATATAAGCATGAAATGCTGTTATGATACAGTACATCCAGTTTTACTTTTTATTTCAACAAAATTTAAATTATATATCGAGACTTTTGCTAAATTATTCCATTTAGTATTCCCCACTGTGCTCCTTCCCCCATTGCTACATACTACTGTAGGCTCCTGGATCAAGAACAACATTGTTAGTTGTGGATGAATAGATGCAGCCTCAGAGGATTCCCAAATGACCAAAGGTCTGCCCCAGAGGAACACATCCTTGGGTAAGATGAGGCTTTGGTACATTTGGGTGTCACAGACCCCCCTGCTGACAGTGCCCATATGTACACAGGCAGGTCCAGATATTTGGCTCAGGAAGTTTTCTTTTACCAGAGACAATTCCAAATTCCAAAAAGGAGCCGAGGTACAAAAAAAAGCCTGGACTAATTTCTGTCCTTGTCCTTCCTAAATTTGACTAGGAGCATTTTGAACGATAATAGGAGTGAAGCTTTTCTGTCCTCTGAAATTCAGAGGAAATAGAGCAGCAAAAACTGGCCCCCAACCTGCCTCTCCCTGTAAGAGCTGTGCAGCTCCTCTGATGAACAGAGCACTTGGTTGAAGGGCTGCAGTGCGGCACTTCTTGAGCCATTGCCTTTACATCAATGTAGTTAGAAAGACTTCAGTGAAATCACTGTGTGGGTGGAACAGCCTGAGTGGCCAGAGAATTTCACACCCCCCCCCCAACCCTACAACACCTTCTGCCAAGCCAGCGCTTTTAAAGGCATTGCCTCCTGGAACCAACTTATTCAGACGGAGCAATGAAGGTGGCACTTAAAGGCACTGATGCCACAAAACACTTAAAACACAGATAATATTTCTGAAGAAGTCAGTGTTTGTGGATGAATAGTGATGGATAAAAACATCTTCTTAGAGCTTGGTTGAGCTGGAGCCCAAGGTCTTATCTGCAGAGGGAAATCAGCCAGAATAGCTGTTCTGCATTTATCTAAGTGCACTGTGCTCGAGGGAAGAGATTGTTAAACACTGAGACATATCTGACCTGCTTTTCTGGGACTGCCTCGGCCGGGCACGGGTGAGTCCTCTTGCACGCTCACACAGTCCCTGACACTACAGCTTCAACGCTCCTGGTGCCAGGGCTCATCACATTAAATCTGTAGTGGTGTGTTGCCATCACACCGCCTCTACCTACAGCATAAACATCACCCAGGAATCCCTTTTTGCAGCTTATAATCAGGGTAGGAGAGAGCATGAAGCATCTACTGTGCTTTAAATTTACTCCTGTGCTTGTGCTACATTAGTCTATTTGGGTAGACAACCCATTAGCCCCCATTCTCAGGGCCATGCTGGTTTTTTAGCCTTGGAGCTTAGGATAAATGAGAGGAAAGAAACTGTTTATTCTTTGTGCAGTAAATTCCAGGCACTTGTTGAGTAAAGCTAACCAAAATTTGTAATGGTTATAAACACAATATCCCTCAGTAACCATTTTAATTTGTAGCTATTAATTACCAACAGTTAATTGGAAATTACTTTCTATCTGGGGAATTGCTAACATTTTATTAGAGCTACAGCACTGTCCTAATCAAGCTCTGATATTGTTTCCTGGAAAATCCTTGTCACAAATTACCGTATTTTAGAAAATGGTTTCACACTTTTGGCTACAAGGTCGAGCCCATCCGATGGTGCTGCCCATCCTCTTTGCAAAAAAAATAATGGGTTTTCAGTTTAAAATAAGCCAAATTTTAGTTTTCAGTGCTGCCCTTGGGAGATACAACACTATTGACGACCTTACTGTCCTTTTTCTTATGCAGGACCTGCCGTGGCAGAACTGTGGGAATGCCTGGAACACCGACCGCTGCTTCTCCAACTACTCCCTGAATGACACCACCAACCTCACCAGTGCCGTCACTGAGTTCTGGGAGTACGTCCACAGTTGCCTACACCAGGTTTCTCCTCCCTAACCACAGTCGTATCTGCCCCCCAGGATTGTGGCTGGTGCCCATTTGGCACTACTCTTTGGATAACTTTGGCAGGAGGGCGTTACAGCCAACCACTGGCCCTGGTGGGCATGGGGTGCACTGTGCAACCTCAGGTCTGAGGGACAGAGAGGATAACAGCCTCTCCACCTCTCTTGTCCTCCCTGTATCGTCCCATCATGATGAACCTCAGGCCTCTTTAAGGTTGTGTAGGTTCTCATGCTTGTCCTCACCTGACCCTTCACCCAGCAGACACCTCTGGGATCTCTAATCCCACTGCCCCCAAGGGTTGGACTTCCCTCTAACACAACGTCTCCCATCCCTAGGAGAAACATGCACCAGATGTCAGGGGGCCTGGGAGAGCCTGGCTCTGTTCGCTGGCCCCTGGCTGGCACGTTGGCCCTGGCCTGGCTCCTGGTCTACTTCTCCATCTGGAAGGGTGTGGAGTGGACAGGCAAGGTATGGTGTGCGGGTCGGGTATTTCAGTGCTGCCCCTCATTCTGCACTCAGGTCTGTTTTCAAAATGTCCTCCAGACTCAATTTTATTTAAGTGCCTATAACTGAGGTTATGGTGTTTTGAGGCAGAATCACAGCAGATGCTATTAAATTCCTGACATTTTACCTTTCATGGTTGTTAAAATTGCTACAATGTTTATGGTAATTTTCATTCTAAGTGTAGAGATTAACTCTTCCCTGTAAAGTCATGAGTCTGAGAGCTCAGTCCTTCTGGGAAGAGGTTTGTGAAGTTGTTTTCAGAAGTTACTTATATTTCCCTCCTTGGGACAGCCTTTTGAGAGAGCAAAACCTCTTATGGTCTCCCACTTTTGAAAATCATCGTCTCTTAAAATGCTGTTGGTGAAAAAACCCTGACTATCTCGTTTGAAAATTTCCCTGCTGCCCTTTCAGTATTGGTGGCAGACCTTCAGATGAGAAGCACATTGTTATTCGCTTGTAACATTTCAGGCTAGCACAGCAAAAAGGTAATTTCTTAGTTTAGTGAAAACGTGATGCTGAGATACTAGGATGTGTTAGTTAGAGCACAGCGTGGTGCAGCGGGACAGTATTATGAAAGGAATAATCTAGAGGAGAGATCAGGAATAAGCACTTCAGGAGTAAGTCACCTAAGCTGTTAACTTCCTCATTGGTTCCCAAAGAGGTTTTAGCTACGCAGCCACAACAAAGCCCAGGTGATTCCCGGTATGGGTTCTGTGATGAGGGATGTCATGTACTCGTGAGTCCCCGAAATAATGCTGAGAAGAAAGTGGAAATCAAGACAACTCTTGTTGTTTGATGCATTGGTCTAGAGAAATACCGGCTTTAGCTCTGCAAAATAAGAATGTGATGACTTAAAGGGAATACTTCCGTGGACTAAATTTATTTCTGTGCAATTCCCTTTTCTTTGAGTATTTCATACAGACTTCAGCATACTACTTTTTTGATTAGTGTGTCCTTGCATATCATTGGCAGGGAGAAACCTCAAACAGACAAAGATTATTATCATGGGAATGAGAGACAGCAAATGCAAGGAAAGGCTGCTGTGCTTTGGCTGTGCTTGGGGAACCTACCTCCCTCACAGGGGGACGTGCCCCATGCAATGACACAAAGTGGGCAGGAAAGCTCCTGGGAACTGGTGGGTTAAAGGTTTCTCTCCATGGGGTCTTTTTCAGGTTGTGTATTTCTCAGCTACCTATCCCTACTTCATGCTTTTCATCCTCTTATTCCGTGGAGTCACACTGCCAGGAGCCAAGGAGGGGATCCTCTTCTACCTCACACCTGACTTCAGAAAGCTCTCCGACTCCGAGGTTTGTAGCCTAGCGAGGAAAGCTCCTATCTCCCAGTTGCCTCTGTATTAGTCTTCCAAGGGCACTTCCCTTAAATATTTTAAGTATTTAAAAAAATCCTGGAATAGTTCCTTTTTCAAGCAGTCACGACCCTCACAGGCTAAGACAAAGTTGCACTGGGCTGCTGCAGGAGATGCACCTGCAGCATGGAGTCCATCCCTCTCCTGTTTCTTTCTCTACAGGTCTGGATGGATGCAGCCACACAGATCTTCTTCTCTTATGGCCTGGGGCTGGGGTCCCTGATCGCTCTGGGGAGCTACAACACTTTCCACAACAATGTCTACAGGTTTGTTGTTTCTTTCCCAGCCTCCTGGATGGCGAGGAATGCTCAGGGTGAAGTAGGGGGTCATGGTGAGTCTGGGGGGGTCTGTTTTCCACTGTCCCCTTACTGCCAACACGCAGCCCAGGGGACACACTTTGGTCTCTATAGGGGGGCTCCCCTGCCTGCAGGACACTTCATATCTCAACAGTTCTACTTCTCCAGGGCATAAGACCTGCTCCCAGCAGGGCTTGGTCTTTTATTTACCCCACCCTCCATTCTTGGCCTCTTGGTAGTCACTTGCAGGTGGTTTCTCTTCCTCCTTTCTCTCTTCCAGAGACTCCATTATTGTCTGTTGTATAAACTCCACTACAAGCGTATTTGCTGGATTTGTTATTTTCTCCATCATTGGCTTCATGTCACACATCACAAAGAAGTCAGTCTCAGAGCTGGCCTCCTCAGGTAAGCAGAAACTCAGTTCAAATATACCAGCAACCTGTGAAAACAAGTTTTCTGTGAGCATGGGATGCTCACAGACCTTTCCTGACTGGGACCCATGCGTGAAATGCTCTTTAAACACCCTCCCACCAAGATGAGTCTCAGGCACCTGTGGCTGATATTGGTCATATTCTGGCTGCAAGGGGCATCTCTGTCTGTTTTAATGTTCTCCTCCTCTTAGTGCTGACCTTTTTTGTGATTTTGCTGTAGGGAAATATTTAGGCCATTTGCTGTCTGCAACCTTCTTGTACAGAGAATGTTTTCAGTAGACATGATAAAAGGTTGGAATCCCTTTTTCATGCGCAATCTTGAAATTGATCTCAGAATAATTTTTTAACCAAGACGGGACTGTGTCTTTTGGGGCAAAGACATATTTTGAAATTGCTGTCTTCCCGGAGAAAGTTTTTATCTCAAGAAACACCATTTTTTTGGGAGGGAGTGTCGACCTGCCGGAAGGCAGGAGGGCTCTGCAGAGGGATCTGGATAGACTGGAGAGATGGGCTGACTCCAATGGGATGAAGTTCAACAAGGCCAAGTGCCGGGTCCTGCACTTTGGCCACAACAACCCCCTGCAGCGCTACAAGCTGGGCACAGAGTGGCTGGAGAGCAGCCAGGCAGAAAGAGACCTGGGGGTGCTGATCGACAGGAGGCTGAACATGAGCCAGCAGTGTGCCCAGGTGGCCAAGAAGGCCAGTGGCATCCTGGCCTGCATCAAGAACAGTGTGGTCAGCAGGAGCAGGGCAGTGATCCTTCCCCTGTACTCTGCATTGGTGAGGCCACACCTTGAGTATTGTGTTCAGCTCTGGGCCCCTCAGTTCAGGAAGGACATTGAGGTGCTGGAGCGGGTCCAGAGAAGAGCAACGAGGCTGGTGAAGGGACTTGAGCACAAGTCCTATGAGGAGAGGCTGAGGGAGCTGGGCTTGTTTAGTCTGGAGAAGAGAAGGCTTAGAGGTGAC